GCTTGAAAATGGTATTCTTCTCTGGAGATGGGAAAGTGACGACCTGGCAAACAGTTATACCTAGAAAGTTATGGGAAGTTACAGGAGGACATCTCGGAGTTAAGAGAACATTGAGTCACCCACGACACAGATTTTACTGGATAGGTATGAGGCAAGAAGTGGAAGAATGGTGCAGGACATGTTGTGCTAAAATAGGACCCAAGCATAAAGGACGCCCACCTTATGAAGAGTTGCCTGAGAATGTGTCAGAGTTTGTGAAAGTGTTATCGGAAAGGATGGATGATATTCACCATCAAGTGCGTTCAAACTTGAAAACGTCTGCTGATTCGATGAAGCTATCTTATGATAAGAGATCTACTGAAGTCAGCTTTGAACCAGGAGACAAGGTGTGGTTGTATAATCCCAGGAACACCAAAGGGAAATCTCCTAAGTTGCCTTCTCCATGGGAAGGTCCATATGACATAGTGGATCGTCTCCTAGATGTGACTTTCTGAATAAAATGTTGTCGATGAGGTAAGCCAAAGGTGATGCATGCCAACAGCCTTTGGCGTTATCACGGTCTTGGACATTTTAGTTGGGAGGAAGTGAACAACAGAACAAAAGACACTGCTGAAGAAGTGTTACCTGAAAAGGCCACTGCCGAAGAAGAAACTGTACTCGGTTTTGAGAAGGGACACAGTGAAGCCCTTCTTGAAGTTACTACCACTGATTTGACTATTACCGATAATAAGACATTTCCTGATGGAGCAGATGAACTTTATGTGAAGCAGAAGCCAACGAGATGGAGACCAGTACAGAAGAAGATACATCCCATAAAATTAAGAGACTTTGTTAAATTTTGATTTTGTGTTTGTAAATTATGTACATTTAATTAAGTTATTGTTAATTATCTATTGGTTTAATGTAAGTGGCTATTGTTCGGGATGTACAATACTAAGGAAGGTGCAGTGTTATGACAGCAGAAGTCACGCGACACTGTAAGGTTGCACACTGGAGTTTCTAGAAGGATCATGTCTCTTCCTGGCAATTCTTTTCTACACGACCTCTATTTTAGTATATAAGCAAGCAAACAACGCGAGATAATTAATTGAATTGCAGACAGGTAGAGATAGAGATGGACAATTGAGTCAAGCGCGGTAGTGACCGGAAGTAAAGTGCGTGAATCGTTGTGAATTATAGCGTGTGTTTAAGTTAAAGTGACTGTGGAAAATAATGTATTGCAAAGTTGTATTGAGAAAGAATAAACTAGTTTTATTTAAAAAATGACTTGTGTCGCTAAAGCTTCATCCGAAAGAAATTATACGGGAAATTAACAAACGACCAGAGACGTAATGAATTGGTGTCAGAGAGTGGGAAGGAAAAGAAAAAAAAAGGAAACGAGAAGTGGCAAATCAAACTACAGCTTAGCAGATTTGATGGCAGCAATACAAGAACAGCAAAAGAACAAGAAAAGAAATAAGAGGAGAGATTACAGCAGTTGTTGGAGGAAAAAGAAAAGAAACAAGAAGAACGAGAAAAGAAACAAGAAGAGAGACTACAGCAGTGGTTGGAGGAGAAAGAAAATAAACATAATTATTGGTATTATAGAAATGTTGGCCAGTATTGCATTTCACGTGTAATAATTAACTTGAACTGCTTTATTCAATACTTTTTTTGTTTATATATTATTGCAACTGTCCCTCTATTGAAGTGGAAATATATATGGAAACATATATACTAGACTATTGTTGCGTCAGCGAGTCACATGACTAGTGTGACGCCACGTTTCTAGAACTATCCCGTACCTTGGCGAATGCACTAGCATTTACTAGATATAGGGTAGTCTGGTATATAAAAGAGGGTGACAACGTGACGGGAGAATAATGTAATGTGTGTGTAGATAGTGAGTAATTGAACTGCAGTCAGAAGTATTGTTGACGTTCGTTGATATAGCGTTTGTTTTAGCGCGATTGTTGAAAATATGTGTATCGTAAAGTTGTATTCGGAAAGAA